ACAACTTTGACTGGATTTGTTTGATTAAAAGATATTCTGATATTTCAATCATACTGAAATTCTATTACCACGCATACTAGGCACGCCTTCACCTGGCCTACATGAGATGGTCTGAGCTTTACTCTGGAAAAATGGATAACCTCGTACTGCTTCTGGTACAGGAATATAGACTTCCAAATTCAAGACTCGGACTTTTTTGGTTTATAAGAACAGAAAGGCAGGCAAATTGATTATAGTGACATAGCTCATTGAGCTATTGAAGAATATATATGCTGTCTCTGTGTGTTACACCAAATTTTCTAAAACAATTATGGACTGAAGTCCCGTTTTCAAAGTAAGATAGTAGACAACTAAATTAGAGTGAAAATTGCCTGACTGGGAAATACCTTTACCGTCAACGGTTTGTAATATTTTTTGTCTATATCAAAACACATACACACACATATGTATATACTTATACAAATTCAGCTACAAGTTACTTTTGCTTGATTCGAACTTGAACACCTGTTCTGCGGATGCCGATTGCAATATGAAAATAGCAATGCAATTGCAATTGCTCCAGTAATTGGAGTTTCTATTAAACGTGGTTCACGGACACTCCGCGTTTTGGCACGTGCCACTGTGTATGGGTGTGTCTGTGTGTGTGTGTGTGTGTTGGGGCAAATGCATCGAGAGCAGCCTGCGGCTGAGGCCAGGGCCACGTGGTGCTCCGATATTGGCACACGTGTTATTGGATAACCTCTGTGCTGCCCAACGCTATGCCAAGCAATTTTCAGCTATTTTCACCAATTAATCTTATTTATTCATAAGAAATTGAATAAAGCTGCAAATTACGCCTAGCCATGGGATTTCTGTAAATTATCCCGATAATGGTCCTTAATATTTCATGGAGTATGCTATAATTGGCAAAAAAAAAGTGAAATTCTGTCGTGGTATTTAATAGAAGAGAACCAAATAAAAGCAACTCCAATTGAATTCTTCTTAAAGGAAGCAAGGTATGTCGAGGTAATTTTAGCTTGACCTAGATTCTTATCGATATCACTTAAGGCAAGGAAAAAAGTTATCGATCTGCCTGAACTGTTGTATATCAAATTTCGATAGCTATAGCTTGCTATACTTTCCATGGCTAGACGAGCTAATACATAAAGAAAGAGAAGATGATGACATCTAAGGTCTGGTCGATTTAATCCTGTTCGTCTTTCTAGCTATTTTTCTAAATTACGATTTCCTTTGAGTTTTGGTGCTATATATAAAAATTGCATCTCCTATATGCTTTTGTTGAAAGATTGAGATTTTTCGTTTGGGTTTGAATTGAAGTAAATACAAGTTTCTAAATATTATATATACATATATATGTATAATCAGTTTATTTATTAGTTTATATTGAATACGATTAATCGACTATTCTCTAACATATTTATTAATTACACTAACCAGTAAATAGGATGGCCAAAAAATTAATAACTAGTATATCATTATCTTATTAGTGCTGGGTAGATCAATAAGAGTTTTCTTAAATGCTAAATCGATATGTTTCCAAAATTTCAACTAAAGGCTAAGCGTAACATTTCTTATAGTCAAAGCTAACACAATGTGCCGACTTCTCTTTTGATTTATGCCGCTCTCTGGTTCTCTTAATGGTTGAAGCTATTGATGAGCCTGTAATATTAATAAGATACGATAGACAGAAATGCGTTAACAGTGGATCAGTACTCGTAGTAACTTATAAGGCCAATTCAGCATAGAGCACTGCCCAAATTTGAGAAAATATTGAACTGCTGGGCTCTATCAAGCCGATGCGCTGTGAGAACGACAGAATAGAGAGCAATGGCACGAATACAACCTCATCATAATATGTTAATCTCTATAATATAAACTATACATCCATTTTTACAATATATTCAAGACTCTCACTATTTTCTACCTATTGTGTCCACTGCCGTTCTTCAATTAAAATTCTAAGCTAAGCTTCGATAGCTCTGCTCAGTAGCCTATAATAGTCATAATTTACATAGTTTAAATTGTTAGCTGAATATATAATATATTAATATAGATCTGAGATAGAAAAAACTTGATATTCGAATGAATAACATAATTAGTAGATGTATAATACTGAATAAATAGTAAAGTAAAGTAAAGTAAAGTAAAGTAAAGTAAAGTATTTAAGTCGAAATTCAGATTAAACAGACTCGACTGGCCATCGGACTGGAGAATACGGCCTTATGTAGTGCTAACTTATATGATATATAGAATATCGAGAAATGCTAATTATAAGCAAATTAAAACATCCCCCCCCCCCTTTATTTGTAATCTGTCTTATACTGAAAAATAAGCAAATGTATTAACAATAATTAACAATACCCCGACGGTCTGAACTCCAATGAGATCAATCCATATATTTACTTATTTACATATTAATAACTAAGTCTACGCTCTATTTGGCAAATCTAGAACTTGAAATCTTCTTTAAGAGCATGAGGATATTCCCTTTTCATTACATGTATTTTAGATAGAGTTTATGAAAAATCGAATCGGAGTTTTTAACTCCTTGTTTGTGTTTTAGCATTGTGCTGTGTAATTATTGATTAAAAAATAAAAAATAAGCTTAATAATATATTAAAATATTTTTACTAATTATTAGAAATTTTGTTTATATTATATGTTTATGTCTCAAAAAAAAAAAAAAAAAAAAAAAAAAAAATTCTTATTAAATTTTCTTTTTCATATTAAAATTTCGTTAGTCTGAACCCATTTTCAATGGGAATTCAGGCTTGTTTTTATTCAATCCTTTAACTAAAATTCGCCTATCACAAAGTCTTTTTATTTCGATATTCCAAACTCTTCAATATTTTTATTTATATGTATATGTAGTTTGAAAATAAGTTACAAGAAAAGAAAACCCAACTATTTGCTGGGCATATGGAAGTCATTTAGTTTGCTTTGCTGCCACCTGGCTAGACTAGGCGAATAACATTTGAGACGTCGTTCTGTTTCCTTGTGCAAATCGGTATTTATTGTGCTCTGCCTTGTCCTAGCCAGTGTGTGGGCTGTCTTGGGCACTGGGGTGCTGAGGTGGGGTGGTGGGGTGCTGGGGTGCTGGCAGCAACTGACAGGGAAATACGGCCATTAGCTAGACCGCGTCTGCTTCCATGTCCGGTCGCTGCTGCAAATGGGCCAAGCAGGACAAACAAACCGGGCGGACATCTACGGGCAAGGACTACGACTACGAGAATCAACTCCAACTCCAGCTCCAAGTTGAAGTCCTGCTGTTGCTGCTGCATTAAAAATGCGCAACATTTTGATTTCTTGGATGGCCGCCGCATGGCAATTGCGGTCGTCGCGCGTCCAAGTCGAAGAAGTCCTTGGAATACGGCCGCTTGTCGGCAAGCAGCAGAAATCCTTTCGCTGCGCCAACTTTCGCCCACCAAATGAGCGAGTGCTCCATGTGCCCGAATGTCCTCTATGTCCTGTGTGTCCTGTGTGTCCTGAATGCCCTGTTTTGAACTTTTGTGCGCATCTAAATAATTAATTAACTACAAAATTCGTGAGCTCCGCACAGCATTTGCCAGCAAATAAAATCGATACGGCTGGAGCACTGAGGACCACCACAATGGCGACAACAAGACTCACAAAAACACAGAGAGAAACAAAAAACAACCGCCAAGAATCTTTTACAATTATTTATTTAACGGCAATCTCTCCCCATTGCCCCCGACCATGCCCCCACCGTGCCTCCATCTGACTCCTCCTCCAAGTTGTGCAGAAATCAATATTAAGCAAAGACTCCAAGCATGTCTCGCCTTTAAAGCGCAGCGCTCAAGGCGTGTCCTTGCGCCCCTTTCAAGACATGTTGTGTATCTCATGTCAAATGTTTGACATTTGGATAAACTACCTGGCAAATATGAATATGGGAATGATCTAATTTCATATGGGAACAAATTGACAATGAAATCAAATCTTTATTTATCGAAAATGAAATGGAGTTTATTGGTTTTAATCACTGTTTATCAGTCTCTCTTAACATTGATTACATAATATACATATACAGGAGTATAATAACTAAACATTCCTATTCCAAAGTAAATATAGAAGAATCCGATTATAACGACTCCGCATTTAAAGCTCATGCGGTTATATCGAGTCCCCAGACAAACCTATTTGAGCAAACATATATGATCATAGCGACTTCCGATTATAATGATGGTTCCTTGGGCATCGTTTTAACCGGATTCATAGAGCTAGTAACTAAAAAAGAATTTTGATAATTGAGTTAATGTTAATTTACTATACTTTATACACTTACCAAATCAACTTTATTTACTCCCATGTGGTAATTTGACAACAGCCTCTATATTTACATATGTCTATATCTATTACATCTCTGGAGTCGAAGTTCCAGCAACATTGTAACAACATCTCGTGAGATTTTTAGGATGCGATGAGAGCTTGCTTAAGTCTTGTTGCCTTTCCACTATTACCTCCCTAACACGGTGTCCCGGTAAAGGCACGCAAGATCTCTCTAGCTTTAAATATGTCCAGATTGGTTTTGGCTTGACTTGTAGAGCTAGACCTTGCCCCGCTTAAGGTGCTCCCCTCTTTGGGGAGTGGAGTGTGTAGGAGTACGACATAGACGGCCGCATTTAAGCCCCTAACTTGTTAATTAAGATAAACTATTTATACTCTATCTATATATGTATCTAAATAATAAACATCAAACGGAACGATATCCAATATATATATATATATTCGTAGATCAAGCTATAAATCGAAGTTTTCGTTTTCACATAGCAAATGAAACATAGACACTCGATATATAACTTTTGTGAATGCCCTTAATTTGAGGTAACACTGTAAACACACACACGCACGCACGCACACACACACACGCACAGACAAACGGATACTCCATATGAATCAAATTTGTAATTGAATTTGATGTTAAATAGCCCAGTATAAACTCGTGCATACATATACTATCCTTGTTTGTCTCGTCTTTTCAGAGTCGTTTATTAGAAGATGCTTCCCTATTATGCAATTCGTGGTCAGCACGTCAGAATGTAAGTTAAACCACAGTAAAGAAAACACAGCCCACACCCACACCCACACCCACACCCACACCCACACCCACACCCACACACACACACATGCACACACACACAGTTGTTATGCCTTTGAATTGATTTACCTAATCTTTAATAAACAAACAAACAAAAACCAAAACTATTCGATTTATTTGATATACGATATTTGCTTACTTATGTTAGGTTACCCCACATACATACATATATATATGTGTATATAGTATATGCTCTTTTTATGATACCTAATTATATATATATAGTTTATATAGTAAATCTAGTTGATGTGGGCCTCATCTATCTATGTATCATCATGTTTCTTTTACTCCGTATGCTTTATATTGCTATCCAGTTCCAATTCGAGCAGATGATCATTGATATTATGTTTGACTAATTGGCAAATCTGTTCCATTTGTCTCTCATCGATACAGGGTGATATTTTTGCGGGTATCAACGATGGCATACTCAGCAGAGCGGAAGCCCTCGCCGCCGTCGACATACAGAAACACCAAGCCCAGCATGTACATAGCCAAATGCCCTCCCAAATCAAGCACGATGTGATGTACCATCACCATTCAATGAGTGGCCCCCCGCAACGTCCATTACAGGTGAGTTAAGCCAATAAATGACTAATACTAATGCAAAAGAGATCTAAACAGAAATTTAATGAAAATTTGACGAGAAAACAATTCGATTCAGTTTTGGCTTAAAAACTTTTGTAATATAATCATATACTTAATACTATTTATAAAGTGATTTTATGTGGAGGAAAATTCAATGGAAAATTTGATTGAAAATTGGAATCGCTAATGAATATATGGCTTAATATATACTCATATATTAGATATCTTAGATATATTAATTGGCTGAATTCTTATTTGAAATAAAATTAGAAAATAGACCCACTTTATTTATATATATAGTCAAGTTCCGATAAATCGAAATGGCAAGAGGATACTTTTTTTACTTACACATAAATTCAAATTATCGGGAATTATCAGGAATTATCGAGAATGATTTTTATACCCTGAACCCATTTTCAATGGGAAATCAGGGTATAATGGTTTTGTTGAAATGTATGTAACAGGCAGAAGGAGGCGTGGCAGACCCGTGTGTGTGTGTGTGTGTGTGTGTGTGTGTGTGTGTGTGTGTGTGTGTGTGTGTGCGTGTTTCCTGTGTAAGCTGAAAGTCGCGAAAAATTATTGAAATAGCTATTACTCCAAGGGTTCAGGGGATCTCGTAGTCGAGTAGTCTCGACTAGAGCTTTCTTACTTGTTTTTTTCTAGGGAATATATTTTTTCTTTTTTTTTTATTTATCGCGATTTTCGATTTAACTGGGTACGAATTATCGAGACTCGACTGTATATATATACACATATGCATGTATAGAAAGAGAATCCTTTCACCGGACAGAGCATCTCTTAAGGAGAAAGCATAGATTTACTTCTACAATATTTATTATTTATTTATTAAAAACTGGAATTAATATAACAAGTCGGCATTGAGGCAACTGGGGTCTTCGGCTTGTTTCATAAAAATCTTGTTGGTTGTAAATTTCACATAAATAACATGGATTAATTGCGGTTATACGTAATACCCACAACTAGCGCTAATTGAAATACATTTTAGCAGCAGATCGCAATGAATTTAGCGGAAATGTTACGAAATGATTCAATGCATTGGCCTTGTAATGGGCCCTATGTGCGTGCGTGTGTGTGCATGTGTGTGTGTGTGCTATGCGTATATGGTATATTATCCGTTTTGCTGCGTTTTATGACAGTCATTTTGATTACAACAAAAGCAGCAACAATGACAACGGCGACAACTTCAATTTCCGCTTTTGCTGCTCAACTGCGTGCGTCTCTTTCTCTCTCTCTCACTCGCTCTCTCTCTCTCTCGTTTTGTCTCTCTCACTGTGTGGTTAATTTGAAATGTTTCTTTAATAAAATTAAAATTGTGACGTGTAAGCCTGCTGGGAACGGGCCACGTGACGGTCGTTTGCCAGGTAAGCACATCATGATTCGTGTCGTTAATTGTATTGTACCGCTACTTCAGCTCGAGGCGGGTCGCGGGCTATGGGCCGTGGGCCGTGGGCCGTGGGCCGCGATTGACGGGTGGGCGAGTTGGACTCCTGTTTGGCTGTCTGCTTAGTCCTGGACACATAGGCACACACACACACACACACACACACACACACTGCATGCAGTGCTCGTGGTGCGGCTAGGTGGTTGCTGCTCTATTTAAAGTTGATTGTAATCAAATTACACAAGCAACCTGTTCCTATATCTTCAGCTAGTTGTTCGGCAGGCATTCGAGTTGCTCTTGTTGTTGCACTCATTGTTGTTGTTGTTGTAATGCCACTTGTTTTCGGCACAATCGAGCATGACAAAAGTGCGCGCTGTCCACGCGTTACTGTCGCCGTCGCCGTCGCCGTCGCCGTCACCGGTGGTTGTTGTGGTTCCCATCCCATACCCATTCACTCCCACCACCCCATGTCACCCATTCAACCATTCCCAATTTCTTGGCATACGCTCGTGTGGACTTTAATTTTCGACACACACACACTCATACACACACACACGCGTGCAGACACTTGAGTCTGAGAATTTGTACCCCATGCGCCTCGAGTTACCGCTGCGGGTCTCAGGTGCAACAACCTTCCACTGAGTGAGTGGCACAATCAACTATCCAGGGAGTTTAGCATCCCAATGCAATAGCAATAAAATATCGACTCCTGCTCCCTCCCCCTCGTGTCTGGCCAACTATTGTATGCGGCTCGACTGCTAGAAACATATTGCCAGGAGTGGAATATGCTCAGGAATGAAAACAAACTCGAACTGAGATTCAAAGCACAACACCAGAACTACAAATAAATTCGTATATTTGGAGCTAATGGGAATACAGTTAATATGGTTTATATGGTAGCAGGAGGCGTGGCAGTCATCATATAAAATACGTGTTTACCAGAATGCAGAGCTCTCTCGAATCTCTTGTATTTCTTTTATGATGTTTTATTTTAACTAGAATTACTAGTATTTCAGCTTATCGATACCTTTTTTCTGGCATTTTTAATATCTCTTGCTGTTTTACTATTGTTTGACAGTGTCTCTCTGCAGGATTGACATAAAAACATATTTGAATATTTCATTAGAATCCTGCATTTGGAAGCAAAGTTATTCAAATTCCCATGCATATAATAAGACCAGATTAGTTGAGGCATCAGCTCTGGACTGATCTAAGTATATTTTTCATATTTGTTTTGCTCTTTTCTTCTGGTAGTTAAGGAAATCTTGAGATATCTAATATGCCTTTCAATTCAGTTTGTACAAAGTTAACTGAGAAAATCCTAAAAATTCTCTTTTATTGTTTACCAAAATGAGTCTTTGATTCAGTACCAGCTAAAATTGCTATAAATAACATTGAAATTCTCAGGAAATTCTATTGCTTAAGGGTTGCCAGCAACCGTTAAAGACAAAACTAATGGACCTTAACAGGAAATTTTCTAGAATCGTATATTTAAGGAAATATAAAACATAAAGCTTTTCTTTAACTCTCTCTACATCTCTATCCCAAAATCGAGCTCAACGGTTCTGTCTCTCTCTCACTCTCTTTCTCTCTCATTCGCTCTCTCCTCTCTCTCTCTCTCTATCCTTCTGTCTGTCTTTGTCTCTATCTCTCCCTAGCTCTGCCTATGCTTGTCTGCCTCTCTCTCTAGCTCGCTCTTTCTCCCAACTTTCTCATATTTCTCTCGTTGGGTATCTTTCTAACTGTCTCCCCCTCTCTCTAGCTCTCTCTCTCTGTCACCCCCTGTCACACTACACGCTGTCAGTCGTTCGTTGTTAGTATCTTTGCCCCTATTCTTGTCTATCTCTCTCTCTCTCTCTCTCTCTCTGTCCCTCTTCTTGTCTATCTCTCTTCCGTTCCCTCTCTCTCCCTTTCTCATCTTATCTATCTTTTTCTCGCTCTATATA